ATTGCAAGGAAGTCTTTTGATTAGTTTTTATTTCCTCTTTTTTCGAGGAAACTATGGTCAGAGTATTTCAAACTTTCAAATTGAAAAATGCATTTTTAGCCTTTGGCCATCAACATGAAACCATCAAAATTACGAGTTGGACCTAATGCACATTGTGCCGTATATTGTGGAGTATCTCTTTCACTTGTTTTGTTGCCGATAATTTTCATTAGAAAAAAAGATTCCAAAGTGCGCAGGGATTTCTTTAGAGTCTTATATTCTATCAATGTCTACCAATACGGGTATATTTGAAGTGTAAAGTGCATAATTTATGTTTTGATGACGCATAATCGATAATGAAGAGAATTTCCCAATATTGCAGCGCAGTGTACGAAAACAACTATGTTTGGGTCTTGGTTCAAAGTCTCCTTTTTTTTCAATATGAGAAACGACAGCTTCTTACTCGCTATCATTATAGTAAAAAACCTCTCCGACAGGCCGAGAAGAACAAGTAGATTTCATCTTCCTTCGATGCATCTTTAGAAAATAAAGTAGAACATTTGGTTTTTTCTAAATATATCTGACCACTAGACAGGTTACGAAATTAAGAACCACAATATATGTTTCCTTATCAAAATTTTAGTTAGAATACAATGGTCGCATCTCTAAATTCGACGCATAAGTTAGAAAATGACGGTTTTCGTCTACGTTGATTCACACTTCACGCTCACAGAAAAACCAGAGCCTACTCAAGTCAAGTCGAGCAGTAAAATAATTTTGGTATATTTTATGACGGGAGAATTTTCGTGTTTACCAATTTTTTTGGACAAAATTAAAGATACCTTGTATGAAGAGAGAGAAAATGCGTATGTGAATCTAAGCTGTGGTAATTTGTTGAACGTATAGGTTGATTTCAATGCCTAATTTGGCCTACGTTGGAGTACGTTTTTTTCCCTAGCGGGAAGTTTAAATTTACTGCTTATAATGTAAACTGCAAATGTTTAATTATTCTCACTTATGAGTTAATTTTGGAAGTTTTCCGTAGGTTCGATGTGTGCTGCGCAAGATTTTGATAAGAAGTCACGTGTTGTTTTCCTTAATCTCTTACCCAGTCTAGTTGTCTTTTTAAGCCTCATAGAAATTTCATTAGTCCCCCCCTTTTTTAGATATTACTTGCAGTTGATAGTAATTTATTATGTTACGATAGAGTAGTATTTTTTGCAGTTCTTTATTTTTTAAAGCTCAGAGTGAGTAACTTACTTGGTACTTACTAATGCTCTGGTGTCATATGCAGTTATTTTTTTGAAAAAAAAAACAATTATTTTAAGTTGCCGACAGAACGCAATATAGGTCGCATTTATTTGAAATCTACCCAATAAATAACATTTCATAACCTGAATTCTTTCTCATCCACCCGTCATTCTAGTTATGAGTAGCCATAGACATTTTCAGGGGTGGGTTAACGGGGTGGCCACATGGGCCGCGGCCCATGGCCGAAAAATTTAGGGGGCGGCAAATTTTCCAATTTTTTTAAATGTAGCTATAAAGAAAAATCGGATTCAGAAAAATAATTACAAACTAGAAAAGGTGTCAAAATATCTCATCTCCTGTGTGTAAATCTTTATTTTTGTCATCTTTCTGTGATACAATAGACAGCACTTAATCAGTCGAGTTAAGACTAAGAGAGAAACCGTACACGGAATTTGGCCTGGAACGGCGCGGCGCAGAGAGCAATGATGAGAGAACTTGAAATGAAAAGGAGAAACCCTCGGTGCGGCGCGGCGCGGCGGCGCCGGTCGGTATGTAACACATATTAGCGCCTACAAGACTGCCTGAATACTTCACGCATTGCGTCAAAGACAGTACGGTCAGCACTCAGCAGCGGACGACGTGAATCGCATAGCGCCTACAAGACTGTAGGAATACTTCACTCATTGCGCCAAACACAGTGCGGTCAGCGCGGCGCGGCGGCGGAAGTTAAAATTATTAAACCACATTCAAGTTTGTTCTTTCATAATTTTTTCGTTCATTTCATATAAATGGAACGCCTTGTCCACACAGAGATAGGTTTACGGAACTTAACTACTTACGGAACTTAACGTAATGTTGACCGGGCTTTCGCAAGAAATGTGTCCAACACGAGTAAAGGCGTCTTATGCGCACACCTCGCCCCCCGGCACGTTCACTTGATGGTTTTTATTGATGTTTCAAAACGAATGAGAAGGGAGCGGCAAAATACAGACGGCCCATGGGAGGCAAGTAGGTAAATTCGGCCTTGGACATTTTGGCGTCTATCGAAGTGAAACCATGATGACAAGAACGCGTTGAGCAGAAAGGAACCAAGCCACACCAGTTATTGCCAAACTGAGAAATTTAATTTTTTACATTAAAAGGGTCGTGCTAATTTTTGTGCAACTTTCAGTAAATTTTCTGCATAATATGAAGCAAATTCCTTAAAATTTTAAACCGCATAAACGTTTTCTTGTAATAAATTAAATAGTCTAGTTTAGCAATAGATGATGTGACCTGGTTCCTTCCTGCTAAATGCAGTCCAATTACCACTACTAATACTGAGGCAACCCTCAATAAATCCAAAGGCGTGGCGTGAATTGCGATGTATCGATGGTTATGCCATTTAAACCTATGGTAAAGAATCGATTATAAAGTTGTTCGCTGCGAACACCCTGTTTTTTTATCCTTTTCCATGGGTTTAAATACATATAGCATAACAATCGATATTTCGCAAAGCACGCCACGCCACTGAAAAAATCGATGGCTAAGTGCAAACCACGTATCTTCGTTTGCGACGTTGTAGACTTCCTGTCATACTTTGATTTTTCCACGGAAAACTAGTAAGCATAACTTTTTGAAAACTTTCTTGATATTTATTTTATGCCAACAAAATACTCTATAAAAAAATCAAGCTGAAAAATCGACACTTTTTTCTCCTAAAAAAATGAAGTACAAGGGGCATTTTGAAATATCACAATGGAGAGACGGGGTCTCGCATTTTGGCCGTCGAGATGCAAACCCACTTAAGTAAAATCAAATTGCGATGTCTTAAAAATATGACGAGTTAAAAAATTTCCAGTTGAACAATTCACTGAGCTCATGAGGAAAATCGTACACACCAAGACCTAAGAAATGACCTTCATACAAACCCTAACCCTGACCGTGTTTGCCTTATTATAAAGCAGTTGCTTGAACTTGAAAAATTTGCATTGTCTCTTACTTTCAGGAAAGCGACTAACTCTAAAGAGTGTTTATTTTGTTATTTGTTTGTGAGCTCTCACTTCATTCTACAAGACTCTCCAATGTAGTTCGCAAGATTGGACCATCGGACCCTGAGGCATTGAGTGTTGCGTTATCCGGATGTTTTGTAACGTTGCAAATTTTAGATAGATAACAAGTTTCGATTTTAATATTGAGAGACGTCTCATGTTTGACTGTTTCTTTTATTTCTTTTGATTTGTTGTATCGCAATGCTCGAAATGACTTCAAAAATCGAGAGGAAAATGGCAGTCATTTCATAAAAAAACCGATGCTTGAAGGAAGTTACGAAAAAAGTTAAAAGTTTATATGTGTTCTAGGATGAGGTGGTGGCAGCGCGTGTATTAAGCGGAGGGTGCCCCTCCCCCCGCCGAAAGTTGTCGGGACTGTTTTTTTTTTTTAATTAAGGATTTTAATATATTTAAATTTCGTAGAATGAGGAGGTGAGCTGATGCCAAAAAAAATGAAAATGAGAATAACGAAAACAAAACAAATAAAGGAAAAAATAAAAAGTTCATAATTTTTTTCTGTTCGAGTCAAACTGATTGAAGTTAAATCAAACAGTAGTGAAAGCATGAGCTTCAATTCACACGATCAACATCGGTTTTTTATGTAAATCTCGCTAAAAACAGAATGCCGCGGCCCGCGGGCCGGCTTTTGTACCTGAACACTATCTACAAAATTTGATGACAAAAGCGAATAAATCTGCTTTTTACTATTCTGCCAGGCCAAGGAAAAACGCCGTATAAGCCTCCAGACGTTGCAAAATTTCCTTTGATACATCACGAAGTTCCGGGAAAAATTGTGAAAATGTTTTTCCTCCAATATTTCTAATTTATGTAAAGTGTCTGAAACTGTCAAGAAAAAATATCCATGACTTTTCTCAAAAATAATACCTTTCGAGTCGGAACTGCATGGGTAACATTCGAATACGGCGGTATTCCTCAGCACAACAGTAGGTATACGTCACTGAAGGAAATTGCCAGGGGACATTGCCAAATTTCATCAGATAAAATACAACTCTTCCAGAGATCCTGTTAATTTTTGTATTTGAAATTTTTGGAGTATTTTATTTTAAATCAATATAAGCTAGCGTTTCGTAAAATTTGAAGGAAAAGTCAATCATTCCTCTAAAAATTGAAAAATCGATCGGAAGAAATTCCACCATTTTACAGCTTATTTTCATCACTCATCCGGAACAGTAAATTACAGTCCACGTTAGTGAACAATTTAAAAGAAGAATTTGTCATTATATTTGTAAAAGCAAACAAATTAACACTCATGTACAGTACTGCCGTGCTAAGGAAAAACGCCGTAAAAACATTCAAGAGTTGCCAAATTCCCTCCGATTAAAAATTTATTTATAAGAGAACTTATGAATATTTTTCTTTGAAATTTGCGAGGTCTGTAGATGAAGTTGTGAACAAAATTATCGAACAAATTTGAAGGAAAATGTTCATAAGTTTTCTCGAAAATGCGTGTTTCATAAAAAGAAATTCGGCAACGTCTGAAGGTTCATACGGCGTTTTTCCTTAGCACGGCAGGGTAGTTGTATTATTTGCAAAATAAAGGAATAAAAAAACTCATCCGGCAACTCTGCGCCCTCTCTGCGAAGATAATAGAGAAGGTCAATCCAAAAGCGCTACGAGGGCGGGGGGGTAGGGCATCATAGCAGACACTGTGGGGGGGGGGGGGAGGCGAGGAGGAAGAGCGGACCTCTAGAAAAGGAACATCTTTTTAATTTAATAATTTAAATCATAATTGCGATCGGTGCGCGCGTGGACCGCTCAGAGCTTCGGCAAGTTGATAAAAGGATTATCGACGCGATTCCAATCGCGAAATTCTAACGGTAACGGGTCAAACAGTGCGACGACGAGGCAACGCGACGGCACGCGTAGATTCAATCAGTTTAAAGGTGCCGCACAGTTGATAAGTCGGTGATGAGTGCCCAGCAAATGCTACTGTTTTCCCCGGATTTCCAGCACCCGCCTTCGCCACCGAACGGAACCACCGAATCGCCGAGTTTTGAGGTCAGGATCAGGGATTGTCACTTGGCACTGTCTTCTGTTTGAATTTTGATGTGTGTGTCCGCTGAAAAAAAGTATCGTAACATCTACCCTAAGTCTAGTTGATTTTTTACACAGTGATCCTATTTAGTGAAAAGAGTGGAGAAACAAGGGGGGAAACGGGGAACAAGGCTAAAATAGTCAATCAATAAAAACCGAGATGTTTCGACTCAAAACTGAGTCATTTTCAGTCGGAAATACAATAAAAATGTAAAAAAAACGATGGAAACCTGAGCCCTATATGGTGGTGGCCGGAATCTGAGAAAAATAGAAAAAAAAAGATTAATTGTGTATTTTAGCCTTGCTTTCCGTTTTTCTCCCTTGTTTTCCACTGTTATCATTGTCTCGGGCTGCTCTTAAACATTTTTTTTCTATTTAGTGAAAATAAAAAAAAACAACACACTCTGGTGAGAATAGTACTCACCAGAACTCTGGTGATACTTACCAAAATATGGTAAATGCTACCACGTTGCCTGAGGTTTATTTATCACAGTGTCAGAGTATGGTAAAGTCTACCAAATTTTGTCTTCAGTGTGTGTACGAGGAATCTTTACCTTTAAGTTTCTGTTAAATTTTTCGAAGAGACGAAAAATAGGTGTAAAATTGTTTTTGTCGGAGATTAGATTGTGAGTTCAGGCTACATTGAGCGATAAAGGACCTCGTTTTGAGCTCATTCAAAAAACGACGTAAGTAGCGTTTGGTTTCCCGTGAAGGCTCAAACGTTCTGATAAATCATTTTTTATCGTTCATCATAATGTCCACTTTCAACGAAAAATTTGAACTTGAAGTGAGACTTTTTTAATGGTGAAGTAAAATCAAATGTCCAAAATTCAGAACATTTAGATGATGAAAAAAAGAGTAAATATTTTAATTAAATGGTGCTATGCATTTCTCATCAAACTTAATGCTTTTTTTTCCGGGTGCTTCCGATTCACCGGTTCTTCCGGTTCCGGAAGAACCGGTTCCGGTTCCGGTTCCGGTTCCGATTCTTCCGTTGAACGCTTAAAAATTTTCCAGAAAGCATATAACGATTATATTGGCAACCTCGGATCACCATATCTATATAAAATCTACTTTATTATCTCGTTGTCATTCCTGCAGGAATTTCTAATCATGGTCAATTTTTGAAGTCCATGATTTCATATAAACCCAAATAATAATGGATTAAATTTGAGGATTAACAGGAACGAGGCTAGGAGAAAAAGGTAAACTCATCCGTTTAATAGTAGGCTTCGAATCGCCAGGGAAGTGACCTCATATTTAGTCATAAGATTTTGTCTAGTTTCTATCAGGGGACGAAATTTGCACCAAAATACTTGTTCATCCCCTTCACGATGCATTAAAAATGATCCACACAACAATACGTATTATGTCACGCTCAGGCTATTAGGTATGTAGTGATGATCACGATTGAAACAAAATCAAGCGCATAAGTTTTACTGCAAAAGTTGTCTTTCTCATTTTCTGCCTAATAATTTAACAAACAGTAAATAAATAAATAAATACAACTACACAACTAAACAAAAAGAAGTAAAGAACATAGATAAACCCTCCCGAAAAATAAATATAATACACAAATTGTAAAAATTGACTTTCAAAATGTTTGCTGGGCGCGCTTATCTTTCGCGACAAAATTTTCAAATGGCAACACGAATAAGATCTAAACCAGTGTCTGCTTCTTGAAAAAAAATAAATTTTAAATAAAAAAGTAAGACGCAAACCAATAACCAGTACAATGAATTAATTAATTTATTGTGTTAGATTTATTCCTCTAGCCCTTTCTCCGTGAATCGATTAATAGTAGTGAATATTTGAATATCGTTATCATTTCAGAGCAATAATTTATCTGAAAGTTTTTTACAATTTAAATAAGTATGTTCAAAATCTATTTAATGATTTCCGAAGGTGTAAGTTAAGCAAAAAGAATGTCTATACTCAAAATGAGAGCAATAGATGTTTTGTAGAGGGGGATATCGTGTCGTCGAGCCATGAAGATGATGAAACAACATCTCTCTAATGTGTGATGCAATTTTGACGAGCCTTCAGAAAGGCACTTCTTCACAAAGAAGAAATGAAAATGATAACAATGTTGCGAATGTGTGACGAATAAAATTATGCTTCCTCGTTCATTCTCTCCCTCTCCTGTGAGCCATCTGTTTCCCTCGTGCTGAAATTTGGAAATATTGAAGGGTCGACGCATGACTGCGATTTATTGAAATAGACACGACTTTACATACTGAGACGCTCGTGTTAATAGTGGGTGGTGAGCTTTCACCGTCAACTGGATGTTGAACACTGAATGGCTTATCTCAAGTGGCTTAAAAATCACTGTTTTTCATAATCTGGCACACTTCAAAAATCATGTAAGAGTGCTCAAGAGTTACGGAAAGACTTGACATAGCACACGTAATAGACTGATTCGACGGGTGTCTAATTGATTGACAGTCAGTGACACACGCTACTTGAAGGGTCGTCCATGAAAATAATGAGAGGAGGAATATTTTGAATTTTTAAGATTTTTATGGGCTCGAGCCGGAAGTAGTAGCAAAATATCAGGCAAAAAAAAACATCAAATGCCCGAGTTAAAATTTAAGTATCATTAAACTGCGCGTTCAAATGTTTTCAGGCCACGTGCCAGCGCAGTTCCTCGTAATTTCTCAGCTTTTTTGATTCAGAATTGTCATTAGATCACGAAAAGGCGGAAAATATTAAATTTGCAACCATTTTTGAGCAAATAAATAACCATCTGTAGCAGATATGTGAAACGTTGCAATATAATTGAACTCACAACACTCTCATACTCAGACTCCAACAGATACTTTCATATTGCAAAATATGTTTTCTTTGAGCGCAAATAGAATACCTATAATGACAAAAATTGGACTTTAATGCTTTTGCAAAGGATGTCCTTAGACAAAAAACAATCTGCATGTGGATACGCTTAGTGTTTTGCATGGCTATATTTCAAAATCTGCAGTGAATAAATAAATTAAGATGAACAATGCTATCGTACTTTCCTCGTTTTAGGTTTGAATCGTCAACTTTGAAAAGCGCTCTTGAAGAATGCATTAATTGGAAAAGGAGATTTGAGTGTTCATAATTAAAAATAAAAAAATAATTGTACAATTGTTTTAATCTGTTCACTATTGCCTCAAAGCACGAAGCGCACCATGCGCATTTCGGTGCGAGCAAGAAAAACGAGGGCGCCTTCAATTTTTTTCATGCATCACGCGCATCCATGGAGCGCGAATAGTTGCATCCAAGCCCTGTGATGAACTTTGCCTCCTTTCGCGTGTTCATTGGCTGCAAAAAAGGAAATGGAAAAAAATTCAATGATGAGAGCATAATTACCGAACCACATATCTCGATTTTCGACGTTACAACTTTCCTGTCACATTTAATTATCCACAGAAGGCCCAATTGTCTTCTGTGCTCGACATATTCTTTGTTTTTCCTCGATTACTAACTCTAATTTCTAAAAATAATTTGCGTAAACAGTTCAGCAGTATTTTAATGAAAAAATTAAAAATGAACGCGAAACTAAATAGGAGTTTTTAATTTAGTATTTTCGCCACTGCTTCGAATTTTAAGCATAACACAGGCGCAAGTAAGTAGCCTGTGCCATTTCATACGTTGGGGAAAAATATTTCGTTTATTCAAGGAACGAAATTCAACATGCTTACCTCTTTATCCTTCCAAAAAGAAGAATAACCCTCCTGTGCCTGCAAATGGATGAACGGCACTTTCTTAAATTTCAACCATCAGTCATTGGGAAAATTTGTCCCTGCTTTAGTTATTTACAAACACTTCGACAGAAAAAACAGCCGTCCTATAGCAGTATTTGAGCTCGAGGTAGAATAATACTTCAATTCCGCCCATACTGAGGGTTTGCAGGCTTTTTCTTTTTAATCATTAGTATTTCAATTTTTTTATTAATGCTATTTTTACTTTCATATCATTTCTGTCTAAAGTTTTGCTCCATTAATGCTAGAGGTCATTAATTAACAGTCCTCTTGGTGTAAAAAATATCTATTCCCTTAAATTTGAAATAACTACAGCTTCAAAAAAAACCACTCTAAATGGCTGAACTTACTGTTATATTTTTGTTGAAATGTTTAAATTCATACTTCTGAGGCATTGTGTAAGGGTATTGTTAAACATCAGGCACCTGTTTCAATTTCGGGTCTTGAAGGAGCGAAGGTCTATTTCAATTAATCAAAAAGTTATCGTCGTTTCCAAAATCCACTAGACAGCGAACTGATAATTTTATTGGTAAAGCAACAATAATAATCGTAGATAAAAAAAATTCTCCTCAAAAATCTATAAACAAAGCATAAACTCATGGCGTGTGGTTCAAAGACCAAGACCGCTCAAGTAAACAACGTTGTTAATGCTTCTGATAGGAGAGATATTGAAATTTTGTTTTGTAATTTTTTATGCATGCTACCTTGAATACGATTTTATTATTATATCAATCTTATTTAAAAAGTATAAAAGTCTCAGAGCAGCTCACGCGGAAGACTCCGCCACAAGGCCAATCTGGCCATACTTAAGAGAAGTAAAATCATTGCCTGTTATTGCAATTTCCCTACTTTATGTACTTCTTCATTCCTCGAAAAAGAAGTACCAACGATAATACAATTTTCAAGTAAAAAGTTGTGGTTCGCGCCATAATATACCCAATTCTTTCAGTTCCTAAGATTTGTGCACTATATTTTCCTCGGGATAATACTGCCGTACTGAGGAAGAACGCCGTATGAACATCCGAGAGTTGCCAAATTTCCTTTAATAAAATGGTTATTTTTGAGGAAAGCTATGAATATTTTTCCTGGAAATTTTCAGGAACTTTAGGGGAAACTACGAACAAAATTATCTGAACAATCGGGGGAAAATATTTACAAATTTCCCCGAAAATTCGTGATTTACCAAAGAAAACTTGGCAACGCCGAAAGGTTCATACGGCG